CCCAGCAGGATGGGGGGCAGCAGCAGCAGCACCTCCAGGATCTTGCGGAGCAGCTCCTCCCGGCTCAGCACGATCCCGGGGGGGCCGCAGGGGGTCCCCAGGATCGGCAGCACCTCCAGCAGCAGGGCACGGATGGCACAGGCTGACAGGACAGGGCTGTCACCACTCCCCGCTGTCCCCAGTTCCCCACGCATCACCAAATTCCCCAGCATTCCTGATCCCCGCTGTCCCCAGTGCCCCCCCGCTGTCCCCAGTCCCCCCCAACATCCCCATTCCCCAGTGCCAACAATTCCCCAGCGTCCCTGGCCCTCGGCATCACCGATTCCCCCAGTGCCACTGACCCCTGGTGTCACCACCCCCCCCCGCAGTCTCCAGCCCGCAGTTTCACCTTCCCCAGTCCCGCTGTCACCAGCTGCTGACTTCTCTGATCCCCCCAGTGCCCGGCACCCCCATCCCTGCTGCCCCCCGTCCCCGCTGTCCCCGGTGCCCCCCGGCTCTCTCACCCCCCGCCGCCTCCCCGCCCAGGCGCTGCCGGACACCCCCCGCCAGCCGCACCAGCTGCCCCCGTGCCGAGGCCTCCGGGGGCCCCAGCCCGGCCCCGGGGGGCTGCAGCTGCCGCAGGCTGTGCAGCACCAGCGCCCGCAGCTGCCCGCGGAATCCCACGGCCCGGCCCCGCAGCAGGAGCTGCTCCAGCAGCCCCGAGAAATCCCGCATCAGCCGGGGCAGCAGCACGGCCTGCGGAGAGAGAGGGGGGATTCCCGCTGGGAATGCTGCTCTGAGGGAGAGGGGGTGGTTCCCAATAGGAATGCTGCTCTGAGGAGGATGGAGGGGGATTCCTGCTGGGAATGCTGCTCTGAGGAAGAGGGGGGGGATTCCCGCTGGGAATGCTGCTCTGAGGTACAGAGGGGTGATTCCCCCTGGGAATGCTGCTCTGAGGAGGATGAAGGGGGATTCCCACTGGGAATGCTGCTCTGAGGAGGATGAAGGGGGATTCCCACTGGGAATGCTGCTC